CGTTTCTTGTAGTAGGTTATCAGGTTTGCACATACAGGTGAAACTCGAAAAAATTAGAATATTGTGCAAAAGTTCATTTATTTCAGTAATGCAACTTAAAAGGTGAAACTAATATATGAGATTTATCCCAGAATTATAAATAAAGCAAGTGAAGGCCACGGATGGCGTCACTCTCCTACATGAGCGCACACACCGCACCATGCATACACACGCCCCGTCTCACACACATACACACACAGGTGCATGGTGTGGCAGTTCATGTATGTTTGATGAGTTCCAAATGGGAAGGGGTAAGGGTAGTCCAGTAGGCACTAAGGGCAAGCTGCGTAGGAGCGAAGCATAACTCTGCAGAAGGGAAACAAAGAAACACAGCGCCTCTAAGTGTGTACTGTGAAGGTATTTAGTAGAAATATAAGTAATAACTCACATCTTAGAATTTAAAAACAGGCTCATGGGTAAGAGGGTGAGATATCTGTAGCCAGATGTTGTTGTGTGACTGATCCAGAGAGATGGAGGGACCTTAGATTGTACACCCCTTGAGGGTTAGGGACTGATGTGAATGTACAATATATATGTAAAGCGCTGCGTAAATTGACAGCGCTATGCAAGTACCTGTAGTAAAAATAATAATAATAATAATTTGGACACTTGCTGAAATTACATTACATCGAGTTTTTATAATGCCAAAGGGTTTGCTCAGCGCTGTACAATAGAGGGGGGGACAATACATGAAACAGTACAGCAACTACAAACAGCACACGAGGAGTTAGAGGGCCCTACTCTTTCGAGCTTACAATCTAGGAGGGAGGGGGTAGAGTGGTACAGGAGGAAGTGGCTGTGGGGGATGGAGTGGTAGGAGGAATGCAAGGAGAACGGCAGTTAGGTGAGGATGGGGTAGGCTTCCCTGAAGAGGTGGGTTTTTAGGGAGCGCCTGAAGGTGAGGAGGGAAGGTGACAGTACCTGATGGATTGGGGTAGTGAGTCCAAGGAATGGGGGAGGACCTCTGGTCTTGCAGACGTCTTGCAGACGGTGCGTGGGAGGAGGATGGACCAGTGGGGAATGGGGGGAGATAGGGCGAAGGGTGATGGGGGGATGGGAGGTGAAGAAGGAAGGGTCAGTGAAGATGCGATTGGGTAAACGGGTGGGGTGATACCTGGGAATCAGGTTGGTGAGGTAGTTAGGGGCAGTGTTGTGAATGGCTTTGTAGGTCAGAGTGAGTAGTTTGAATTTGATGCGTTGGGCGATAGGGAGCCAGTGGATGGATAGGCAGAGGGGGGTGGCAGAGGAGGGAGCGGTTGGTGAGGTGGATGAGTCTAGCCGCTGAGTTCAGGATTTCCCTGAAGTGGGGAGAAATATTTTTAAAGGTGTGTACGTATGTGTCAGCATAGGAAAAGTTTTCTGTTTGTGCATTTTACTACATATTCATTAAAGTGTAACTCTAAATCGTTTTTAGATTAGTACCCATTTCATGTTTATTTAATACTGTCTGTGCCCCAGTTCACACCCTCTCTATTTGATCTGGTGACCACTGTTACTAAGGGTGGATAAAAATGCTAAATTTCTAGTTGTCACCAAATCAGGAAGAGAAGAAATATTCCAATGGACACTTGTTCTGGTTATATCTATCTTAGAGAGGATTGCCCTCAGTTCAGTCTGACCTGATCTTGTCAAGTTTGAAAGGCCTGTAGGGTATTTGCACCCTTCCTGTCTTGCCTCCAAGCCTCGAAGGTCCGGTGTCACTTTATTCATTCCCCCAAAGACAAAACAATTCAGGAGACAGCCAGAGGGTACCAGCTGAAATAACATTCTTTTCGAGTATTAGAAATAAATTATCAATTCTATTTTTGTTGGGGCTCTATGGCTACAGATCTTAATACAGAATGAATTACAGAGCACACAAAAATATACCTGCTTTGATGGAACATGTAGGAGCCATAAACAGTTGTCATCGTTGTTGGTGGGAGTAGCGTCACTGGAAGAGAAGTTCCCCGAGGCACCCAGTAACTTTGTCCTGCATAGATCTTCATGAAAAAAAAAATAACTTTTAGAGCCTGCATTATCAATTCCCACAAATTTCAGTGCCAGAAAAAAAGTTAAAATTTGCATCCTCGGGTGGGACTAATTTCCACCTATCTTTTTCTTCATGCAAAACTGTTGCTGTGCCCATGCAATGTAAAGCATGCAGACTCTCAGGACAGTCTGAAGATGATGATGACTTCTTTATTGATGAGATACCTCAAATGGCAAAGAGGAAGAGTTTTTTAATTTGGGTGACTTCAACATGCCTGACATTAACTGGAATTCCAAAACTGGAATTACAAGCAGGAGCCGGGTGTAATGGAAGCACTGAATGGGGTTTCTCTGAAGCAGTCAGTAGAAAGCCCAACCGAGAGAGATCATATTCTAGCCCTAGTACTGACAAATGGGAATTAATTGTCTGATGTTGTGGCAGGAGAAAATTTGAGTTCTAGTGACTAACAATGTCTCTGGTTTGATATTAAATGCAAGAACTGAAAAATCATAATCAAAAAGTAAAGTTTTTGAACCTTCCTGCAAATGAAAACAACCATGCGGTATATTTTCCTCCCCCTGATACCAACAACGGTGCACTATTTCTCTCACTGATTTCCAACGATGGGGCACTATCCTCGCACTAGTACCACGATGGGGCCTATTTCTCCACTGATTCCAACGATGGGGCATATTCTCGCACTAGTACCAACGATGGGGCCTATTTTCTCCCACTGATTCCAACGATGGGGCACTATTCCTCGCACTAGTACCAAACGATGGGGCCTATTCTCCCACTAATTCCAACGATGGGCACTATTCCTCGCACTAGTACCAACGATGGGACACTATTCCTCCACTGATACCAACAATGGTGCACTATTCCTCCCATTAAAACCAATAATGGGGCATTATTCCTTCCCTGGACACCAATTATGAAGCTAAGCCAGTTTTTACTTCCACTGACCCCCCAAGCCTGAAGCATTGTTTCCTCCGCTGACCACTGATGTTATTGCATTTGTTACTCTCATTGTCCACAGTCTGGTTCCCTAATTCTGAGCGACAGTGGACTGACCCTTTGTTTAGAAAGTTTGAGGACCCCTGAGTTGGATGAACTGTTTTCCTGGAAACTTACTGCAATTATAAAGCAGGTTTAGCCTCTTCACGTCCAGGCTGCTGAGCCCAGTTCTCTGCCCAACGGGTGTATTGGGATTTCCTATTTGTGTGATTGACATCTGCCCAGATGTATTAACAAAAGTTTTGCTAAAAGTAAAAAAATTAAGATGAAGATTTAGGACACCGTAAAAAACAAAAAATTAGATGGATGTACTCTGATTTATTCAATTATGTTATAATTATAACATTGTATACCAGAACCAAATAAAATGGATATCGCTCAAATGCCTCAATCTGTTGTCCCAGTCGTTAGGCCACAGTGTTTGCAGTTGCTGATTTGGTTGAATACTGGCTCGTTAGGACCATTGAGGACTACAACAAAATGGCGTCCATAAAAACTGTCTTCAGCTTGATCTCCTACCCATGGGAGAACCCCCTCTAACATGTTTTGTCCAATAGGGGCTTAATCAAAGAGGTCCCATACAATTAAGCCCCTGTTGGACGAAACATGTTAGAGAGGATTCTTCCACAGGTAGGAGTCCAAGGTGAAGCCATTTTTTACTAAGAGGAGCTCACTATATGCTGAGGCAGTGTGCAGACAGGCGCCATTTTCCTATTTATACATCGGTTAAGCAAACTTGAGTGTTTTGTGTATAAAACAGCAGTATGGTATTATAGCTGTATCAGCCTATTATCATTAATACAGTAAAAGCGTAGCAAATGTAGATAAGACAACAGCCTTATATTTCCTGGGAAGCCAGAACTGTATTAAAACCTCAACTCTACACCAGGCAGACCCCTCGTATTGTGCTATTAGTATAGTTCACACTAATGCTAGCATGTGCTTTGGGGGGCAGCATGCTATCTGTCTATGTTCAGAACTACTTTTTACTTGTACAGGGCAACAAACAAGAGAAAACTACTAATAGGGTTATTCCTTTGATCCCTTTTAACATTCGGGCTTGGTGTCTGTTTTATGCCCTTAGTAGGGTGATGTCTGTAGCATGTTTCATAATGGTTTTCTGTATGTCCTCATGGTGGCTGGCATTGATCGAATGCAGAAAATTGCGAGTCACCACCAGGGGCGGACTGACAACTCATGGGGCCCCCCGGGCAATAGGGGATCATGGGGCCCCTGTGTCCTTGCCCAAACTCAAAAAAGCCTATGAAGAAGGTACCAGGGGCATCTCATGGGGCCCCCTACTGACCCCGGGCCCTCAGGCAGTGCCTAAGTTTCCAAATGGTCAGTCCGCCCCTGGTCACCGCACATAGTGTGAATGAGCCATAAGAGTCTTCTGCCTCCTTATAACTATAACATTCCCTGCACCCTTACAGTTGTGCTGTACATTTTAGACAGAGGTGCCCAGATTAAGGGAACAAAATTAAAAAGAAATAGGAAAAATTTTGTCAGTTTTAGGGGTTGTGCTGTCCCCCTTACCCTGCTGCCTAGGCAGTGGCCCATGAGTGCTCTTATGTTAAATACAGCTCTAAAGGATGCATACATATCCTGTTGTTCTTGCAAATATACAGTACCTCTCAAGGACTATGGTGACAGATCTCTGCACTTGTGTTCCCAACTCCACCCTTCATGGGGACCCACTTTCCCTGTTGGAGGGTTCTTCTTTTATGCTTACAACTTTTTCCTGCTGAATCGGGATGCAGAAGGGGAGGATCTACTTTTGAACTGAAATGTATGACATACAGGATAGAGGGAACTAGTTTGTGATTCAACAAGCAACCAAATATAAACAGATTCTGATGCTTTGGTTATTTTTTCCCATCTAGAGCCAGAGCAGGATTAAATATTGTCTTTTCTTACTGCCAAAGTGCATCACCGAAGTATAGTCATAAGTAATAATGGATTTGCTTTCATCGTCTGTCCTAAAATTGCTCTTGATCGTCTGTAAAACAACAAATTATCTGTTAATGAGCGGCATTTAAACTTACAGAAGTGGCATGTGTCAGGAATGGACTGGCCAGCAATGTGTGGGGACTTCACCTGCCTTTTGATCTGCAGTACCAGGGCTGGCCAGCGGGGTGCTCCCAGCAATCAGAGACTCAACCTTTCAGCCAGCTAACACCTGGAACTGATGATACTGGTGTATTGAAGGGATGGCCAGACTTGCAGACTCTGCCTTGGTGTTGTGTTTGTCCTGGGCCCTGTATCTGTCCTGCATCCTGTTTCTGTTCCTTTGCTGACCTGCATGATCCTGAACCGCTGCTGACTTCTCCTGCTCTGATCCCGGCTCGCTCCTGACCATCCCTCTGCCTGACCCTCTGTACCACGCTGCTTGCTACCTGTTCTGATCCCTGGCTTGTGACCCTGACCATCCCTCTGCCTGACCCTCTGTACTACGCTGCTAGCTACCTGCTGAACCTGGCCTGTGACCCCGACCCATCTCTGCTTGCTCCCCTGTACCTACCTGCCCTATTGATATTGACCCGGCCTGCCTGACGACGCTTGCTTGTATGTACTGTTATCTGTGGGTGGTTGGTTTGGTTTGTTTTCACTGTATTATGTTTTAGTATTGCACTGCGTTATGTTTGTATGGTTAGTGTTAATAAACCTGGGAGCCCTGACAGCATGGGTGGATACTGATATTAAAGGGAGCTGTCAGCACAGGGTCACTTGTGTCTAATAACTTGCTAAAAGAAGATCAAGCATGCTGCATATTGCGCTTTCTGCTGCTGTCTCCTACATCACTACAGGACGTCCAGAGGGAGGAAGCATAGGGTGTGCAGTGGGAGTAATAGGTATTCGAACAAGTCCAAGCAGTCGAATACTTGCAGTGGACAGGGAGCAGCAAATCTGTGGCATTTCAAGACACAGTCCACCCAAAAAATAAGTATATTGGGTGGCGTGGTCTTACGATGGCGGCGTGTGGGCACTCTTTCCGGAGCTCTGCAGGGACCGGGACTGCCAGAGTACATTTTGAGCCTCACCACCCGGCTGCTCTCGCATGCCTGGGGACCGGAGATTGCTGGGAACGTACGGGGGGGGGTGAGATCACCCATTATTTCCTCCACCTGCATTCTCTCGCCTCTCCTGCTGCCTCCCCCAAGGTGGTGCCGCCGCAGCCCAGCTCCGCTGGTGCGGCCTCAGCCAAGAGCCCTCGCAGTGTTCCCCCTAGTGTGGGAGCTCCGGCACCCACCGGGCCAGCATCCCTCATCATATCTCCTCTCCTGCCCTCCCCCCGGAGAGCTCCCTGTTATATATATTATATTTCGGTGCCGGATGCTATGATGAGCCATCTTCGATCTCTGTTTCCCTTTCGTTGGGCTTCTGAATCCATCTGTTAGTTGGGGGTTCACATTACTCCTGACCTGGCAGCTCTCTATTTGGCTAACTTTGAATCGCTTTTTCAGTGTACGAGATTGGACCTGTTGCATTGGCACTCTCTTGCCCTCACGTTGTTTGGGCGCTGCAATGCTCTCAAAATGACTCTACTTCCTCGGATCCCCTTTTTTTTCAAGAAGATACATGCTCTCTATAGGACCTTTGTTTTGTCCCATAGGAAATCTCATCTTCAATTCCGGCTTCTACACCTGCCCCTGCGTCTTGGGGGGTTGGGTCTTCCAGATGTCCGAGCCTATTACAGAGCAGTTCATCTGACAAGACTGGTAGACTGGCATTACCATGCTGAGACGAAACTTTGGGTGGCTATGGAGCTGGAGAATTCTTGGGGTACTGCTAACAGCTGGCCTTGGACTTTGTTGAAATTGCCTAAGACCTTGACAGACCACCCTACCATTGGTAGCACCTTGCTGGTGTCCCGGGAGATTTTTCGGAACTTCTCCATCTCTCCGTTGCCCTCTCCTATGCTCCCCATTTTGGAGAACCCTGAATTTTCTCTGGGAATGGAGGACCCCCAGTTTCTTCACCTGGAGGTCTTGAAGCATCTACATTTCTTTGATTTTTTGGATGCAGATGGTAATCTTGCTCCTTCTGCTTTGCTGATAGATGCAGATCACCCGTTGGCCTTCTGGAACAGTCTGCAACTTTTCTTTGCAAATGCTCAGGGGATCGGCCGCCGTCTCACAGTCTTAGAGAATATCTGTCACAAGAGGGAGCCTGTTCTTCATTGTCTCTCCACTCTTTACTCCACCCTGATCAGTCCTCAGGACGACTTCATACCTACTTTTCTCACTCATTGGGAGCGGTTCAAGCAGTCCCTGACAGCCAGGTGCTCTTTTTCCCGTGAGTCGCACTAGGTACCTGTAAATTTAGAGTCCAAAATGTCTAACGAAAGGTACACTAGTGAAGAGGCCTACAGGATTCTGAGCATGTCAGGTGAGAGCGAAGGGGAAGAATCCCTGAAGCTAAAGTGCTAGGATCGCATTACTTGTCTCATATGCAGCAAAGTGCCAGTACTAGTGCCATACTACCTTTTGGTGAACTGGAGAGCACCAGCAGCCTAGTACATCCTGGTCTTTCACATACCAGCACTACAGTATCACTTGGTGACGTGGCGAGTTCCGTAAGTGCAGTACAAGCTGGTGCCCTGGCAAGCACAAGTAGTGTCCCTCAGCCACCTAGAATTTGCACACAGGCCCGTACAGCCACTAGTGTCCTTCCGGATGTGCTTGCAAATCCTGATTGGCAGCCCACAGATTCTGCAGCACCCGTACTTCCCCCATTCACTGCCCAACCTGGAATTCAAGTGGAAACAGCAAATTTAACTCCCCGTTTAGATCCACAGACCCGATTCATCATATGCCCGTGTTCTCTGCTTCCATGAGCAGGCATAGATATGAGACGATAAAGCGCTTCATGCATTTCAGTGATAACACACTCTGTCATCCTCGGGGTAACCTTGAACATGACAGGCTCTACAAAAATTGTCCCCTCATAAACCACCTCACTTAGAAATTTGCAGATGTGTATATGCTCCGGCAAAACATCTGCGTGGATGAGTCCCTCATTTACTTTACTGGCCACCTTGCATTCAAACAGTACATCAGCAAGCGTGCCAGATAAGGGGTCAAATTGTATAAGCTCTGTGAGAGGGCCACAGGCTATATGTACAAATTTAGGGTTTGTGAGGCAAGAGACAGCGAAGTAGAGCCCCCTGACTGCCCAGACTAAATGTGGAGCAGTGGCAAGATAGTTTGGGACTTGGTATCATCTTTGTTCTGTAAGGGGTACCGCTTATACGTGGACATTCTCTATACAAGCGTGCCACTATTTAGACATTTGTACAATCCTGGAATTGGCTCATGTGGCACTGTGCGACCTAATCGCCGGGGCTTCCTCCAACGGCTTGTAAACACCCAACTTAGAAAGGGGGGGGAGAAAGCCTGCTTGAGTAATGATGAATTGCTCGCAGTGAAGTGGAAGGACAAACGGGATGTTTTCATCCCGTCTTCTTTTCACACAGACGCGACAGTCCAAATTAACACGGTATCTGGCGTTGTTGAGAAACCCCTCTGTGTCCACAACTATAAACTTAACATGGGAGGGATGGACTTCAATGACCAAATGATCAATCTGCACCTTGTTTCTGGAAAGCTCGACACTGGTAAAAAAAAAGGTGTCTATTTATTTCAATTGGCTATATATGACACTTTTGTAATTTACAAAGCAAGTGGACGAAGTGGATCCGTCCTAAAATTTCAGGAAGAGATCATCACTGCCCTTTTGTATCCAGAAGGTGCTGTGGCCCACTGTGGCACACTTTTTCTGGCAGAGATTTCTTCTCTTTTTCTCATTCAGTCCACAGGCTGCATACAAGAAAAGAACATAGCATATACACACAACAAGGACCAGCGACATACTGGTATATCACTGGACTTTGAGTGGTTATACCAGGCATCATCCTGGTATTGTTTTTTTCAGCTGCAGGATTGCTTTTACAAGCAGCGGGAGAAGACACCCCCCTCCTCCCGCGGTGCCTTCCACGGCCTTCTCAGGCAGTCCCGTGCCATCGGGGGGAACCTGAGAATGCAGCCGGTGTTTCTGGCAGCTGACCATAGAACTGATTGAAGACCAGAATGGTGCCAATCATCTCTATAGTCTAAGAAATCAGAAGCTACGAGCATTTCATCACTTCAGTTTCGCAGGATATAAACAGCGCCATTTGTAAATTGGGAAAGCATCTGATCACACCGATCTTGGTTTGATTAGATAATGTAAGGGCAGAGGATATATCTAGAGTCTGATGGAACCCAGATTTCTGAAAAAAAAAATATATGACAATGCCCATTGAAGTTATAGGGGATATTTGCATTCCCTGTGATAGCATTAAAAGTGATAAAAAAAAATGAAAGGGACAGTGTAAAAATAATTTTAAAAAATCAAATTAACTTAAAAAAAAAAAGCACCTTCGCCTCCCCACGCATGCACCTGCATGCAAGAGCGTTGATCCTGTGCCAGTATGTAAACAGCAGTTGCACCTTGCATGTGAGGCATCAGCGCGATAAATAAAAAGCACACAGGTGGTCAAATACCACCGAAAGGAAGCTCTATTTGTGTGAAAAAAAGGAATAACATTTTGTTTGGGTACAGCATTGCATGAATGCGCAATTACCAGTCGAATAATGCATAGCAAAAAGAGGCCTGGTCAGGAAGGGGGGTAAATCCTCAGGAGAACAAGTGTTTAAAATTACTAACAAATGTTGTTATATATTAAAGAAATCATGAATGCATTTTATGTGTGACTAAATGCTAATCATTGTCCAATCACAAACTGAGGGAAAGGAGGTGACCTAGCTGTGTTGTTTAACTGTGGCATAGAATCATCAAATCTCCAGGCTGGCTGTGCTTTTGTCCCTCTGCAAATATATTACATTTTGGGGGATTTAGATTGATTATTTCTTAAATTCTGAGATTCCAAAAATCAGCCCACCCACCAAATGAGTACCTATTTCCACAGATGTCAAATGAGGTCTCTCTAAATGCTCTCTCATTGCTAACTAGTGAGTGACACCTAAACAATAGTATGCATTGAAAAGCTTAATACACACAAATGCCAAACTTTGAGGATTGGTGATTGTAGTATCATACACGCCTTGAGCAGGGGTGGACTGACAACTCATGGGGCCCCCGGGCAATAGGGGATCATGAGGCCCCTGTGTCCTTGCCCAAACTTAAAAAAGCCTATGAAAAAGGTACCAGGGACATCTCATGGGGCCCCCTACTGACCCCGGGCCCTCGGGCAGTGTCCGAGTTTCCAATTGGTCAGTTCGTCCCTGGCCTTGAGTCAGTGGCAACTATTTCTGACAATGGCTGCATGTAACTTGAGTGGTGACCAAATTGATTCTGAACATCTGATGCCTTCTGGCACAGGTTCACACATGGACACCATATCATGTGTATACCTGACCAATCCACCTACCTGGTGAGATGTACTGCCAGCTGATGTCCACATATGTATCCCTGTCTATTCTGTTGTGTTCA